TGGAAACTGAGAATCTGCCTATCAATTCTTCCACTACTTCCACCACATCCTCCTTCCACAGTGTTACAATCCCCCCCGAGGCTCCCCAAGAAGGAGCCGAGCTCCAACCTAAACCTCTAGACYTCCAAAAACTCCTCACCCATCTCCCATCTAATTCCATCAATTTGGATTCTTGTAACAACACAATATCAGGTTTTTCCCTTCAAGCAGCAACCATCTTTCACTATTAATTGTCTATAATCTTTGTAGAAAAATGTATAAACTTCATTTAAAACATAAAAAAATAATATATTCATGAAAAAATGGACGAAAGAAAATAATATTCAGAAAATAGAGGGGTTGAGCCTCTATTTTGTCCTAGGAATAGAAGGAAAGAAAGGAAAGGATGAAAGTATTGATCGATTGGACAAAAATTTAAGTTCTTCCATGCTCATTAGTTCAGGTTTTGAACCTTCAAGGGTTCAAGATAGTATACATCTTGATTAAAACTTACCAAATAAGAAAATAATAAAAAAAAACTAGCAATTTAACTCAAACAAAACAATTTAGTTTAATAATGTCTGTTTTACTATTATTATCTCAGAAAATTAAGAATATAAAAGATTGATAAAAAAGAAATATAAAAGTATCCAAGAGCACCATATAAAAAATATCTTGGCGATAAAGTGAGGTGGCCCTCCATGAGCGCCTTATTGGGTAGGTTTCACTCTGCATGTTAAGCTACCTTTGTATTACTTGATTGTCGTAGTTAGGTAGTGTATCTTAGAGGTAGTCTTTATTTTATATTATTGTGGGTTGTTCTTGTATCATTTGGTGTAGCAATAGCAAACATGCATTCGCCGGGTTATTTGGTTTTTCATTTGATTGGTAGCAGTATGTTTTTATTTTATTGGATGGTCACAAGAAACTGTTGTGACTATTTGAACTCGTGAAAACCAAATCACTCAAGCATGCACTTGCTGGAGGTTTGGTTTATCCTTTGACTCAAGGATCAAAGTATCAAAATCGGGTATCGTATCGGACAACTCAAATATGGATACACTTTGGAAACACATGGATATGGATAAAAGATATGGGAACACTTGAATACGCTAGGGAAATGCATACAAATCTAAAGCTGAATTATTTACAAATAAGATATAAAGACATAACAAATGCACACTTTAATAGGTTATATGAAGAGAAGCATTACAATCAATAACACTAGGACTCTAGAACATGTACACATCATACAATAATTATCACTCTATTTCAATTTTTATATTTTTGGTATATTTATGTAAATAACTCTATTTTTTTTTCAAATAATAATTATGCTTTCATTTTTAACATATAATTTATATGTAAAATAAAACATATAAATCATTTAAGGTAGGTAAAATAAATTATTTTTATAGTTTTCAGTTTTTATTAAAATTTGGGGAAAATTAAATCTTAAATTATTTATTTTAGTGTTTTATAATTATAATTCTATTTCAGTTTTTACAATTATAATTTTCATTTTTTTATGAAAGTTCAAAAACAATTCAAAAGCGGTGAATTATAATTTTGTGATACTAGGCATCAATACACTTCCCGTATCAGTGTGTATTGGACAATAACCATTAATATAGCATGATGGGGCCTGATATGGAGGTGTACTATGTCAATACATGACTCGTGGAATACATACCTAATCATGGCATATCCCGTATCCATGGCCATATGATACACCCTGCATTAGGAGTATCATATTGATATTTTGAACCTTGCTTTAACTTACGGCATGTTTGGGTTTTTTTAGAGGCCACAAGAAAGAGTTATGATTATGTGAACTCGTCGATCCACATGTCAGCTACCTTTGTATTTTTTTTTTTTTGATATTCCTAATAAGGTAGTGGATCCTTGGGAAAATGTGTGCAGCTGTGGGAAAAACCTTGGGAAAATGGAGTTCCATTAACAACTGTTTCAGGGGTTTTAGTTTCAAGATGTTTGTAGAACATTGGAAATCATTACTTTGGGATGAAGATTTTGTGTTGTAAGTTGTAGCCTGTCGGCATCTCTTTGTATGGCTGTTTGAGGAAACCTCTCCCTCAGCAGCTTTTCTCTCTTTCTATTAATAATATTATTATTCTAAAGAAGTAAGGTAGTGGATCCTAGAGGCAGTCTTCATTTTATCATATGATAGTGGGTAGTTTATGTATCACTTGGGTAACAACAACCATGCATTTACTGGGAAATTTTGTCTTTCATTTGATTAATGAAATGTCTATGTTTTGTTGGAGGGTTGCAAAAAAGTGTTGTGACCATCAAGGTTTAAAATGTCATCATCCAAATATTGGAAACATGTCGGAAAAGTCAGAAATATTGCATGATAATATTGTAAAAATTATAGACATGGTGGAAACATTGCAAATATGCAAAAATAGAATGATATGTTATAAAATGATAAAAGAAGCATAAGCACACCTTTTTAAATTGTTATATTATTTCAAATCGTTAAACAAAGCTAAGAAACTAAGGTTATGGACAAAAGAATACGTTCTAAAGTTGTCCTGTAAACCATAAGATTCAGAGCTTCATGATAGAATGAGTTAAAGAAAATTTTGAACTCGTAGAAAATGTAAATGTTTGTAATAGATCAATCAAGTAATCTATTACACAAATAAAAACTATTATTCAGTTTGATAATTGAGCCAATAAATTATTCAGATAACAATTGACCCCAAAACAGATTTTTCCTAGGTACCCCTTTGAATGTGGGCATATTGATAATTGAGGGGGACACAGAGCTGTTAGTGGGATGGCTGTCAGATCTGGAAACTGTAATTTGGACCTACAGAGAAGCTGTGAAAAAGGTCAAAGTAAGACAGTGGACCCTAGAGGCATAGTTTTCAAGGTGTCGAGGCAAGGCTAAGTGATTTTTTTAATAAAACTCATATTTCATTATTAATTGTCACCTAGTTGCCTAGGTAATGTTCTTTTCTTTTTTGAATAAAAACCATGTATCCTAGGGTGATTCCTTATGTTCCATTCCAGGCAACAACCATCTTTCGTTATTAGATGTCGATAATCTTTGTAATAAAAGGTATAAGTTTCATTTGAAACATAGAAAATCAACATATTCATGAAAAACTGGAAGAAAGAAAACAAATTTTAGAAAATAGAAGGGCCGAGCCTCTATTTTTGTCCTAGGAAAAGAAGAAAAGAAAAGAATGGGTGAAAATAATCAATATGTATTGATTGGATAAGATTTTGAGTTCTTCCATGCTTATCAGTTCAAGTTTTGAAGCCTTTGAGCATTCGAGGTAGTATACATGTTGATAGAATTCGAACTGAGAAAAATAAAAAGAAACTAATATTTTAACTTAAGCCGAATAATTTAGTTTAATAATGTCTATATTATTATTATAATCCCAAAAAGTTGAGAATATAAAAGTATTCAAGAGCACTGTGTAAAAAATATCTTGGTGATTAAGTGAGGCAACTGTCCATTAGCACCTTATTGCTTAGGTGTTGCCTTGACAACTATGGCCTGAATGCACACTTGTGTCTTAATATAACTTGCAACAAACTAAGGTTTAAATCTTGGATTCCATGTATAATTTTCTTCTCTTTCACTCAGTTACAATCTCTTATTTAGTCAGCACATAAATTGCTATTTGCTAATGCACGGGTTGGGTTGTTTTGTAATTACGTATGCTGCAACCAATATTCCTATTGACCTTTTAATTCAAGTTGTAGATATTAGTTTCCACTTATGCAACATAGCTATTTCTTGTTTGCTCACGCAACTAATATTCCTTCATTTTTCTGTCCAAGCATCTAAATTGAGATAGAGATGATTAACACCATCACCATGGAATGTGTGTTTAAAACTTGGGATCTGGTTGTTGTGGTTTCTTTTAATTTCTAACTATTTATTCTGTTTGTGTTTGTTCCAAGAAGTATCTCCCTGTGAAGTTTTGTCCTGGAAAGGCCATCAATATCTCTGGCTTGAGATGCACAACTGGGTATCGAGACATAACAGGTTTTTAAGGAGGCTATATTTGTATTGAAGACTAGCCTTTCACATTTATGTGATCCTTTCTTCATGGATAGACCATGTAGTCGTGTTGCAAAGAAGCCTATGGGCAGAAAACATTCTTGTGTGTAAGTGAAGTGAGTCCGTTGCTTGGAAGCCTGCAACAACCCAACTGGTATCAGGTGGGTTTATACAGAAGAATGCCCAAAATGGAATGAGGTGAAAGAATCATGCCCATTAGGAATCAACAAGTTCTAGATTAGTGGCTGGAAGTTTAATCCTCAGGATTGAACATTTTTTTAGGGTTCCTTTTATACTACAACCAAGGTGAAGAGAATCGGGTAACTGAGTTGAAACTTGAAAGGAGCAGCTATTATGCAGTGTGCGTTAAAACGTCTATGGGGCTTGCTTTATAATGTACCGGAGTGATGTACATAGTATCTGGCGGACAGGCTCTTGAACTATCAATCGTTAAGCCCCAACAAGTGAACAACCTTTGCTACTTTCCTTTATGTTTTGTCAGTCATTTATATAAGTTGTAGCAGGTGATCATTTGAAGGATTTATCCATTGTGAAAATCGTAGAATCCTCTAGTGCAAGACATTGCAAAAACTTTTGGTCGGAGTAGTTCCTTGCATCTGTACAACGAAATTTTAATTTTTATTACCTGCTATCTTGTAACAAAGAAATATGTTTGCTGTATTGTATGAAGTTACCACTTTGCGTTTTGTTTCAACGGGAACTTGCATTCCGATCTTAAATGATGGACCCAGTTAACAAGCTGGCCATTTTGAATTGTTGGATCCAAATTGAGACTGAATGACAGTGTCGATGCTGGAGTCAATGCGCACTTGATTGTGGAAGTTGAAATATCCAACATGAGTAGGGATCCCCATTGAAAGCAGGATTATGAGCTTAGGAAATGCTACGAGTGCATCATGGAAAGTTGAGGAGGAGCTTTGAAGCAAGAAGAATTCTTGGATTGGGCTCATAGTAACTATGCACCCCCATGGTACATACAGTAGAGGCTGACTGCTAAACTGCAACTGGAACAAAACAAGCATATGGAGAGAGAGAGAGAGAGAGAGAGAGAGGTATGGCTCTCCAATTCCAGTTGTATAGCGAGCTAAGAAAAGAAACAGAAAAGTAAAATGCTTCTCTATACTACCCATTTTTAACTTCTATTCATACATGAAACAAAATAGAAAACAGTATAGTAGAAGGATTTCCAATTGGGCACATTACAAGCTTATATCAAACATGGTGATGGTATTTATGTGGTTATGTACTCATGTTTGCGGGTGAAGGCAATATATGAAATGCTTCCGGTATGAAGATTGATTTTCCAATTCAAAATGTAGCTTGCTATCTAATAATACTTACTATATAGATGACCCAAATGTACTTCAGGCTGAATTTGAAAAGAGTACAAATACAAATATATACAATACAAATACTATAAAAAAGAATACAAAATACAAGGTACACATTTGTATTTGTATTTAGACTCCTTTCAAACTGAGCCTTAGGTACAAATGAAAGAATTTTAACGCAGGAGGCTTATCATTCAATTCAAAACGAGAAATCAGAGGAGTTTTATACAAGAAAAGTCACCTTGTTTTTGTTGGGGTGAAGGACTTTTAATGTTTTAATGTGCAACGGTACAGTCTAACAAGCTGCGTCTGAGCTGAGAGCACTTGATCAGCAAGGGAGGGTCATGTCATGTCCAGCATCATCGGTTCTAGGCCAATTGCTGGTGCTAACTGCAAAGTGAGGTGTAGGGCCTGTAGGTTATTATATGTAATTTACCAAAAACACCTTCTATCATAGCGATTGGCGAAAAAATGATAATGTAGGGAACGGCATAACTCGTAAATTGGGCATATATCAGGAGTACCTTCTACCTGTTAAATTTATTTAGCCTTTTATTTATCCCTCCGCGGCTCCGTCTCTCTCTCTCCCTGCGTTTCGCTCGTCCTCTCAAAGTAGAAGTGTCCTCCTCTGCTCGAACCCGAGAGAGAGAGAATGACGGTATTTCACTTCTTCAACTGCGCAATTCTTACGTTTGGTCCTCACGCTGTCTACTATTCCGCAACGCCATTGTAAGTCCTCCTAGTTTCTCTCGATAATTTACAGATCTGCCATCATGGTACCCCACCTCCAGGATCTTACGACCTACTTCGCAAATTATGAAATTGAAAACGGACCCATTATCAAATTTAGCTTCTTCCGTCTGTTCGATCGGAATGATACTTTATTTCAAAATTTGCTCTTTTTTTTGAATCTCGTCCAACTCTCTCAAATAGTTGTTTTTACTGTAAGTAATCTCCCTTTTAAAGTCGAATTTGTATCTGCGCACTTTTTGGATGGTCCTGATTACCTTGTAGACAAATTAGTGGAAATTATCGAAAAGCTTTTATAAGGGTTTAGATTACTATTTGCTTGATTTACATTCTCTAGTGAAATTTTATAATATTCCTTTTCTTTTCAGAATTGTTTTGAGAGCTGTCGGTTCTTTGTATTTGTTGTAAATTTTATACTGATTTTGTGCTGGTATGTGGTGCAGATCAGAGTATGATACTTTTGGTACTTCTGTTAAGGCGGCCATTGTATATCTTGGAACAGCTTTAGTGAAGGTTGGTAAGCATGATTTATAATTGGTCTCTGTAGGAGTCTTAGTGTTGTCTAGGGTCATTTTATTGATAAGAACACAATGGGATTCTTTAATATGGCATTCTACGGCCTGCCACTTAACCTACTGATATTATTTGGAAGTGGTAACTATTACCAAAAATCTGAGTCGACAAGTGTTTGTTACAATTTTGTTGGTTTTTGGTGCTCGCTACTATGCATTTTATCAACTAGGTTCCATAATCTTGGCTCAAGTTGACTTGAATAACAGTGGCTGGCTAGTAGTCGACTGTGCTACTTGGTTAAGTGGCGCAGCTGGCCTTGACTGCATTAAACAAAGCATGCATTTATTTTCTTTCTCAAGTTTCCATGTTGATCCTGATGCGTATCTTCATTGTTTCCTGTCTAGGATTCAAATAATTTTTTCATCAATATATTTGAAATCAAACCAGCTCCTTATCTACCCCTTTTGTTATGCTATAATTGTTGGTATTAAGTTACTAACACCTTACAGGAACTCCACAACATCCCTTCATAGTATCCACATCTAAAGGAATTTAAACTTTTAGATGTTAAACTAAAAAATCCAAGCAAGATTCAGTTTAGTGTTTCCATGGAACTTGTCTAATACATTATGTGGCTTTTATTGGACATAGCCTATATTATTGCATTTTCATTTAAGGCATTTATCACATTTCATCACTAGAGTTGTCTTAGGATGTGAATATAGAGAAAGAAGGAAAAAGACCATATCGATCAAGAAATGTAAAAACCCACATCCAACCAAGGAAAATGTTAGAATTATGCATTGAACATTGGGAAAATGAATGTGTGCCCTGCACATTTGTGTTACTTGATTGACATCCTGAAGGGGGGAGAGAGAGAGAGAGAGAGAGAAGTACATGCATGGTTCAATCACTGTGTAGACTTTTTTTACAAGTAACAACAGCAGTAGGAATCTTTCACAAATAGCCTCAAAAGTAATCTTCCTTCTTTGCCAGTTGCAACATGGCATAAGGTGATGTAGGGAACATCTGGAACCCTTTTATAGCACAATGTACCACATAAAAGGCTACTGGGTTAGATAGATTTCTTTGCATCCCTTCTCACCTGAGTTTGTTGCGCTTGATCTGTTGAAAGCAACTTCATTTAGTGATTTATCCTCAACTGTGGTTTTAGTCCTTGGTTGTAGAATTGCTAGTTTCTATATACAGATAAAGTATAACTGTTTGTTGTCCAGCATTATTTGTCTTCCATTCATATATACCCATAAGAAGTAATTTTGTTTGATATTATCTTGAGGATGCTCTTTTTCTATGCTTTGACATACAAGCCTCTCAACATTTTAAATGGAATTGTGATGTTGTTTGTTTATATTGACAGCTTGTGTGTCTGGCAACATTTCTCAAAGTACCCGAGAATGACAGTTTTGATCCATATCAGGTTTTGACTTGTCACTTAATTTAGTTTTCTAAATGAACCTCTTTATTCCTGCATTAATATGTCCATGTTTATAAAAAAAATAATATTTCCATATTTTCTTAATGGAAGCTTGAAATTTTTAACTTGTCTTTTTTGTAAGTTGATATATAAGTTTGTACTCTTGCACTTGGAAAGTTTGACAAGTATGAATATCAGTACTTACAAATTTCGGTCTTTTGTGATATCTTCTTATTTACTGTTTTTGATGAAAAATAGCATGTAATTTATATCTACATATGTAACATAAGAGTAGCTTTATTTGTTGATAGATACTATAACACACACACACACATACATACATACACACATACATTTCACTTCTAAGAATAATTGGAGTGCTCTTTGCAGCTTCAAAACAAAGAACACAGGTAAACAGAGTCTTCCAGATTTGTTACGTATATTTCTCCACTGACTATACAATGATTTTTGTGTTGTTTTCTTCGGATACCATAGAAACAGGAATGCAGGGGCCTGTAATTAAGAGTAGAACACTTATTCTTGAAGAATATATGACATACAGGGTTTATGTGTCTGGCAACCCAAGAATGATTAATTTTGTTACATTTCTGCAGCAATGCATGCAGTTTAGGGGATTCTTCTAGCATTTATTACCATGGATGAAGTATGTTATCAGGATATGCATTAGGATTGGTATTTAGCAGTGGGGTTGAGGTAGGAAGAATGATATTAGAACTGGTAACGGGTCAATGATGCCAGATTTGGAATTCTCAGTGGAAAGCTGAGCAGATTACTTGTTGGCTTGAATCTTCCAATCCATGCCTGTAAAATTCCAGGCTGGTTAGCAGAGTTTTTCAATCAAATGTCATCTTAGGCATTTCTGTAGGGCCCTCACTGATTCTGAAACTTTAGAGGTCTCAGCTCTCTTATCCTTTCTCAATGAAGTCTTCCTTTCCTCCTTTTACCAACAAATGCATCTGGTGTTCTTAACCCCCCAAGGCACCTTTTCCATTAGATCTTTAGAGGTCTCATCTCTCGTCCTCCCTCAATGAAGTCTTCCTTTCCTCCTCTTTCTCAACAAATGCATCAGGTGTCCTCAACCCCCCAAGGCACCTTTTCCACTAGATCTTTCTTTCATCACCTTAATGCTGGTTCCTTGCCCTCCTTGTTTCCATGGGATAATTTGTCTTTCCTTGGTTCCCTTAATAGTCTCTTTCTTCATCTAGGAGGCTGCTTGGGAACATATTAATACAGGGGACATTATTCAAGAGAGAGAGCTGACCCCTATATAACTGGGATAAGGCATCGGTGGTTGCTCACCACTTTTCACAGTACCTTTTAGATCTTATACATGGAGGTAACTTCTCTTGAGTTCCCCCCCAACTCTGTTACAGACTTCATCCTTCAATGGTCATCTTGCAAGTTGGGATCAAGGGGGAAATTATTTTGGAAGGCTTCCATACATGGTGTCATGTAGCATGTGGTCCATAGGAATGAAAATCGTGAAAGCTTGATAACTAGATACTGCATTTGGTGAGTCAATATATACCAACTGAGAATCGGCATGTGTGACTGACCATGTGCCATCTTACGGTTTTGGATTCAGAACATGTGATTTTTTATTTTCATTTTTCCTGGCTCTTGTTGGGCTGGGGGGGGGGGCAAGGGAGGTTATATAAGTATATAACAGAGTCATAAGTTAGTTAGATCATCAAAATTAGTATGGAGTTACTGCTGGACTGTATACACATACAAATGGCAGCAAATTGTAATATGTATTACCATTGGGGAATTCTTTTATTATTTGAATTTGGAAAATGGATATATTTGCACAAGGTGCCCAATTGGTGGTCAACATCTGGAAGTTTTTGCCTTCCATATAGCTAGTTAACCTTGTGGTCTCATTTGAAATAGATATATTATATCATGTGATAATCAAAGTCATACTTCATGAATATGAAGTATAAATTGCAGTAATCCTTTATCTTTTTTTTTCAGGAATTATTGAAAGCTTTAATTGGATTCATTGATGTTGCGGGGCTTTACTTTGCCTTGACACAGCTTACTCATAGAAACATATCTCAAAATCATAAATTTCAAGCTGTTGGACTTGGTGAGTATACCTTTTCTTGTTCTATATTTTGTTTTACACAACAGACAGAGAGAGAGAGAGAGGAGGGAGGGGGGGAGNGAGGGAGAGGGATAGGAGAAGGGGGAGACGGAGAGGGAGAGGACTTTGTTTCTTTTCCCCATAGATTTTGGAAATTTTTTCTTGATGTTAATACAAATGCTTTTTATACATGAAAATTGGTAAAGCCATACTTGCATATGGTTGTTGCTATTTCTCCCGAGGGAGGGAGGGAGGGAGAGGGAGAGGGCTTTTTTATTTTTTTATTCCCACAGATTTTGGAAAATTTTTCTTGATATTAATTTTTTATACATGAAAGTTGGTAAAGCCATACTTGCATATGGTTGTTGGTATTTCTCCTGAGCATGCAAGAATATAATTGTGGTTGAGACTATAATCTCTTTCTATTGCTAATGCAACATATTTCTCCTTTTGCCAGGATGGGCTTTTGCTGATTCAGTGCTACACAGACTAGCACCTCTCTGGGTGGGAGCAAGAGGATTAGAGTTTACATGGGAATACATTTTACAAGGCCTTGAAGCAAATGCAAATCTAGTAAGTCACTTTCCTACTTCTAATGTTTCTGCAAGTTGGTGACTATTATCTGGACCAGTGTAATTAAATGATATTTAATGATCATTGTCAAGTATCTTTCTTTTATCTGTTTAATGCTCTCCTTGTATATCTTTGTTCTGATGGTTCTTGATTCATATTTCTTCTACTCTATTTTCAGGTCTTAACTGTATCTCTTGCTGCACTGGGATCTTTGATGTGGCTTCGGAAGAATAAACCCAGGACCTTAGTTCCTATAATTTATGCATGTGCTGGAATTCTTGCCACCATGCCATCCATCACAAGGTTTGCTTTTTAACCTTGCTCATTAGTTCTCAATTACAGTATGATTGTCTTCAAAAGCATCACTTTTCAGATTAGTTTCCATTAAAGGTTCAAAATATCACAATTTATTGGTGCATATCGACTGATACTTGTCAATTTTGAACCCACCAATATCCCAAATAAGGGGATTTGGGACATGCAGCCACTTTCCCAAAGATACTCTGGTGCAATTCTTGAAGCTTGGAACATTTTTAATCTTAGTGTATCACCCCTTTGAATCGACAAAATGCAATTTGTGTATCACATATATCGATACTTTGAACCTTGTCTCCATTAATAGTTCTCTTTAGGTCATTTACCTTCTCTGTGATGTTTCTACATATAGATACTCAGTGCTGCCACCACTCTCTTCTGGGTCAAAGGGACACTTTTGGTTCCTGTTATGCTTCTTTGACTTATGAGTGGATGCAAATATTCGAATTTTGGCAGTCTTCTTTTGTATGAAATCAAAAGTGTTATATTCCAGCAGCGTTTGACATTGAACTGTACTGGAGTTTCTCTACTTATTCCCCTTATCCAATTAATGTTTCATTTGTGTTGATGTTCTCATCTATCTCATTCCTATGGTGGTTTAACACACACACACACCCCAAACCAAACCATTTTCTAGTCGCAAACCTCTTGAAGCCTCACAGTTTTTCTTATTGAAAATCCTGGTTTCCATTTGAGTAAGATTCTAATTTTGTTCCTTACCATGTAAGATTTTTCTTGCATTAACCTTTCTTAAAAATTTCCTTACGAAGCAAACAATTTTGCAGCTATCTTAGGCGAGGATTGGGATGGCACTTTCCTAAGGTGGTGGGCTTTGAACTGTTTGCCTCACTGGCGATGGCGTTCATTAGTTGGCAGCTTTTCTCTGCTTGTCAGAAACCATCTGCCTAAGAGACTCAAGATTATTCCAGAAGATTTTCAGTTTCATCAAAGGAAGAATTCGTAGGAGCCTGCGAAGTGGGACCCACTGTCCCGTTTGATATCCTGCTGACCAGTGCTACTGACTGTTTGTTGTTGGTGTTTTTCTACATCATTGATATGGTCTGTAAAATTCATAAATACTCCAACTGAATCTTATTGGGATGAGGTGAATGGTTGATGATCTTGATCATCCATCTTTTTCCCCGCCTTTGTACACCAAGAATGTATTCCAAAATGGGATTATATGAAGGGTTGGCAATCTTAAGTCATTAGATTTTCAGAATTCACGTCTAAAATTTCATTCTTTCAGTTGCAGGTCTTTAATTCCTAAAATGCTTCCTGTATAATAGATACAGACGTACTCATGACTGAAGAGTGATGGGTGCGCCGATCATGTCTGGAACACAATCACACATGCCGATTGCTGGTAACAAATTTGTAAAATCTCACTATATTTTTTTGGTATTCAATTGGATATAGAGTCAGGTTGGGTTAGGGTTGACTAACTAGGGCCACCCAACCCTAACCTGATGTAGTACAAATTGTACATTAATGTAAGAATTATAAGCATGTTTATGTGAGAAGGGGAGGAGGACGATGATGAAATATTAAGTTTATCATATGGCGTGCGCTTGACTGCTTGTATGCGCATGGTGGCAGCATGTGTTTGTAAATTTGGTTCCTACATGGGTGATGATGGGTTAGGGACTTAAGGTTGATGTCTTAACACATTAGGGTTTGGGCTATGGTTGCCTGAGTTTCTCCCCTAACTGCAAGCCTCTTTCTAACAAGCATTACGGTTAAGTGTTGGAGCTCTTAGCTGGGCAATCTCCCGCCACCCCTACAGGATGCAAGCAAATAAAGGTCTTAATGGGAGGAATTGCGAATTAATCACCAAACAGCTAGTGTTTGCGAATGAATATAAGGGTGTCAGCCCTGCAAACTTTGGTTTCAATTCACAAATTATTGCGAGACCATCAGACCCTACTAAATTCCCATTCTTGCTCTGCATTCACAATTCATCTGAGTGTGCATTTGTCATGTTGGTGTGGAACTGTGGATAAGAAGCATGAATTTTCTGAGGTTCGCAAAGTTTGGGATAAGAGCCTTTCAATCAGAAGAAACATGATTTTTTTTTGTGGAAAATGATAAATGTATGACTGATCTGTTATATGTAGTTTGAACAGCCACCCCACTTTGCTTGATTTTACTTGTACAGGCAAAATAATCGAGTTCACATTCAAAAAGAACACACAAGAAAGAGAGGGTCTACAGATCAAACTGTCTCACTCGGCTTCCTCCAGAGACGCTTCTATTCGCAGGAGAACGAAGCCGACAGCGACGCCGACCAGAACAAGTCCATTCATGATTGCAGCAATCTTGAATATCTCAGCTGCGGCATTGCAGGTAGAAGAGAGCGCTCCCCCACCTTTTCCTTTGCTTTGGGATGAAGACTTCAATGAGCTCACTATCTTAGCAAAGGACTGTTCCGTGCATACAGGAAGCCCTAAAGCAGCTACGCTGTTGTGGGCTTTCAACCCTCCAAAGGAATTCAGTCCTCCGATGTATACGACATTGCTCTTTCTCTTCTGGGTCGAATTGCGACCGCTCATCACGCCGGCACTGGTACATGTGGCCGCAGAGAGTGCAGCGGACGTGGTTGCCATTTTCTGCAGGGCTCACAACCTACAGCAACAGCAATTAGACAGAAATAAAAATTTTATGTAGCTCTACTGGAGAAATAGTCAGAAAAAGGGAGAATGAGAATCGAATAACTTGAAAAAATCTCGTTAAATTTAACGAGGAGATGGTGGGTGTACCTTTGGGCGACGGTCTTTTCCGGCTATGAAATTGAAGATGAGCGGCCACAATAAAGAGAGGGACTTTGTATTGGGGAGATAGAGAAGAGTTTGGATAAGGTGAATTCAATATGGTTGGTTGACAAAACAGATTAGATGAGCTTCTCTTATTTTCCACGGAGAAAATGCATATCGTCCAAGAAAAATATTAGCGCTTTACCCAAAAAAATAAAAGATAAAACTATATATATGTATATATATAGAGAGAGAGAGAGCGAGAGAGAGAGAGAGGAAGCCAAAGTTGACGTCAGATTGCAATTTGCACGAGACCCCCTACCCCACCGTCATTGTGAGTTGTGTCGTGTTCCATTTGATACAAATCAAGTGGTGAATAGGAGTTTGTCTCATACAAAGAAGAGATATCTATAAAACCACCACCAAACACAACTGGGCTTCCTATCTAACAAATTTGAACCGTCCAATTTGTTAGATAGCTGTCGGATGGGTCATGCCTCAGAATTTAGCTCATTCACAGAAACAATGATTCATCCCCTGCATAGTGGGGCTAAAAATTTTGAACTGGACTGATCAGTCATTCTCCCAATTCAAAGTGCTTATGTAAGGGTCTAAGGGGTGTGTTATTGAACGTCTGTTAGGTTTCTCTCCAATCAATTTTGATGCCCGAAATGTCTGATCAGGACTCGGTAGTTCCATCTACGGTCATTGTGGTTAGTAGGATGGTCTTTACCTTACGTACTCTATGATGGGATAGCACCCCCTGAACGGTGAGGCTAAAAAATTCTGACCTGGACACGGTCTAATAGGTGTAAAATGTGAACTCAGGTTGGTCAACCCGAGTTCCACCCCTTCTGGAGGACCAGTGGACTCTCCCATCCAATTCAAAAACAGGATAGCAGTTTCACCCTCTTCAGGCTTCAGCTGAACATAGCAACTACCGTGAACCAGTACTAGCTTCAAGCCCTTTTGCTGATTGCAATATCAAAAATTGAAAATCATCAAAACTAACTGAATTGGTGTTTTTAAATTTTGACAAGAGGCCAACCCGAGCATTCTTTTGGGTTTTAAATTTTGACAAGTTGCACCACTCGTCCTCTATCTGCTTTTATGGTTCAAGTGAACTGCACTCGGATTGGGTCCAGTTGCAAGCATTCTTTTGGGTTTTAAAGTCACTTTCAAATTCAGGGCCCATTTGGTTCGTGGGAATAAGGGTTTGAAATCACAATCTGTCATTCTGTTTGCAACATGCAACTATTTGGTTGGGTGGAACTGAATTCCGTTCCCATTTCTGTTGGAATGGAATTCCCCCATCTGAGGGAATGACCATTCCATTCCCTCCCCTTCTCTTGAGAATTCTTATTCCAGCTTATTCCAATTCTGATTCTGATTCCTATCTAAACCAAACAGATTATGAGAATAGGTCATTCTAATTTTGATTTCAAATGATTTTGATTTTGATTCCGACTGCAACCAAACGTACCTTTATACATAATTGGTTTTGAGTTTTGAACGGTGGCCACCAGGCATGGTGTATCCAACATTTAAAATTGGTGCGGATGGAATAGTATTGCAGCATTGCAAGATAGGTTCTGCATGGAAAGCTGCGAACCTATGTTTGATGAAAAACCCAGAAAGCCCAAAAATGCTTACATTGAAATATTGAATTGAGAAATCGACTTTCTCTGGTGAAGTTGGTTTTGCTAGCTTCTTTGAATTGAGAAATCGGCCAATGCTGAAACCCTCCCAAATGGTCTCTTAGCCTGAAGATGAAGAATAAACACCACAAAATGAGTTAATCCATCACATGTTCACACCCAGAACGCATAAACTATAGGATCAGTTAATATTGAACCTCGTAATTAACAGCTTAAACAAGTCACGAAAGGATAAGTAAATGCAGAATTTTTGCAAATTGACCTAACAAGCCTTTTTTATTATTTTGGTGAACTTGACAAGCTTTAAAAACAAAAGCCAAAGAACCAGTAAATGTGGAATCTCAAAATTTTTATTTCACAAGCTTAAAAACATGCAACAAGTTGGTCGATCTCATAGCCCGTAGAAGTTGGTGGTCTCAAGTACCCCTTCTGTTCAGCATCTCTCTATCTACAGCTTAAAAGGGAGCTTATTCAACGCCCGTTTTATTCAGAGTAACTTGTGAAATCATGTAGGAGTGGTTTTAATTAAAAGCATTCATCCAGTGTCTATTAATGGATATTAATGTAGCTAGAGTACTCAATGCTTATCCTAAAGCTTATTTACCACTGCAGTTCTAAACAGATGGAAAATGAAACGCTGAACTTATTTGTGGCATTAGGAGCGGCGTACGTGAAAAGGAATCATGCCATCAATTTGAACTCCCAGAAGTGAATCTTTATTTCCACAAACATTTACATAAAACCTTACGTTTCATAGTATTTCCTTCTTTTCCTGGAAAACAACCAGAAAATCTAAGTGTTCATTGAATCTTCAAACTCTTATCGCATGATAAAGTCTATCAACAACCAACTTTTCATTCAATGTAGTTACTTCCAAGTTTTCATAGAAATCAAAGAGATTCCCAATTGTTGTGTGCCACAAAAACAACTTACTAGTTCAAAGCTGAAAAAAAAAAAAAAATCCGGCACTAGAAACATTTCACTAATCAATATCATGCTAACTATGTAGAAAAAAATAACCCAAAGATTAATCAAGTCCAAGCATCCTGTATACTAAAATAAGTCTTGTTCTAGTGTGAACTTCTATAAGTTGTATCAAAGGCTAACTTGCCAGTAATGTAGTACCAAGGAATTTATATATTATTCAAAGGTTCATGTAGCGCCATGGTTTATAGGTAGCACCAATTGTTGTGGTCATTGAATTTAAGAGAAGAATCTGCATATTTGGTCATTCCTTCAAGTCTTCAACTTGTTTGTTTCCTTTTCAATGCCTAAATGATGTTGAAGCCATTACTCTTGACCGCTGAATGTGCACCTGTATTACATTGTCATTCTTTCCTTTTCCACAGAACTCAAAAGTGCATTCGTCTTGTGATTTTAGATTGTTGGCTTTCCAAAAATCATACCACCCACTACCAATCACAATCCGACCATCCCTCCATGTGAAGACTTTCACAGGCCATGATCTCCCCCTTGGATCACAAAGAATCATATTTGGATGTACTTTAAACATATTTTCAGTCACCACCTTTTTTGGAATGTACTGCAATTGCAAGCATAACATGACAATTGTTCTTTTCAGAAGCCACACAAGAGTAGCACATCTAATCCATTAAATGAGAAATAAGAAAAAAAAGGAAATGGAGAAAAATGAAAGACTTAGGCTATGATGTTGAGATAAAACATAAAGTTACTCTCATGGAGCACTTCTTTGGTAGTAGTAACTAAGAAAAATGGAAATCCTGTAATAAGTTAGCACTGGAACCACAAGGCAATTATCATGATAAACAAAAAGACATGCCAAGTAGCAACAATCATAATCATTCAGTCATATTGGCGAGTTACTCCTGGTACTTGGAAAACCAGAGCAGACCAGCTGGCTGACCAAGTTGACCAGAAAAAAAAGGCCTTTCAGTTCCTAAATACAAAATGCTTGGATAATACCTAAAAGCCCTTGACCTTGGTCAAAATATTCTTCCACTTCCAACCTTACGACTTTAAATGGTTCAAATATTCTCCACAGTTTTCTGGTTTGATATTTTTTAATTAATTATGACATCATGCTGATGTCACATTTGAACCAGTTAAATCATGGTTGAACCATTCAAAACATGAAGAGGCCATTTTGGCAGGATTGCTGCTCCAGTTTTCAGAACATTGCATTGAGTAGCAGGTGCAGATTCCCTTTTATAAGTATGTTAACATCTTGCGTAGAAGAGAAAATCTAAGGTTTAACTTCCAAGTTATACTTTCTAAGCTCTTGCTTTGGGATGAACAGCTCTTCAGAATATCCAAGGGAAAAACCCAAATTTCTTCATCTTTCAACCTTGAACTTGACCATACTACAACAAGCATCTTCTGAAACTTGGCTGTCTCTCCTTCCCAACTTCCAAATGTATTCCAGTATGGAAATTCTTTCTTTTAAACCCCAACCAGTGAGAAGCGTTCTAACAACTAGCCACCCTACAAATCCAAGCCAGATCTCTCAATCCACTTCTATAGGGGGTACCCTATTTATGTTCTGAACCTTAAAACTCCCCCACCTCCAAGCTTTTTTACATGGCCACAAGAACACCCAAGCTTCTAGGAACTCCTGAAAGAAGCTCTCTTATGATGGATGAAGTTGATGTTCAAAAGAAAACAATGTCCCAAATTATACCTCCCTTGGGAAATCAATCTGTTTATTAATTAACCAACCTCTAACAAGTAAAATATGTTTACTGCTAAAACTATGTAGAAGACCTGAACAGGCCTAGATGTTGGTACAATCAATGGCACAATCAAATTCTATGTCCATCCTCCTTTGGATAAAAGTGCTGATCACATAAGGCTTGTCCCTTATCTTTCGGATCAGAAATAACTTTTAGTTTCATTGTGAATATCTTCTGGTCTTTTGATATAGACACCTACCTTAATGAAGTTCATCTAACTAAGGTTTAAAGTATTGATATGTATCACATCATATCATGCATATCATATAAGTATAGAGGTACCTGGATACAAAAAATACTGAGAGTTTGGGCATTTTAATGACTTCAGTTGTCAAAGGTCATCCTCAGTAAGCTATCTATGAATTATTATACTGAACAAATAAAAAAACATGTAGTATTGCTTGATCAAAATGTACAATATGCCATTTTTTTTTTCATATCGTGCATGTCAATATTTTAAACCTTGCATCTAACACTTAAGATTTAAAGTCATCCTTAACAATTAATCTACTCCTGTATCTCAGGTACTTCCATCTCCTATTCTTGTGCTCTACTTTGCTCTATCAGTCTTGCCCCTTACTCCATTTTTTGAAAAATGGTAAGGTAATATTATTTCTGAAATAACACATACAAGTGGAAAGGCAAACAAGACAGCCTCCCCCACACAAACAGCATCAGATTTCCCATAAACTAACTGAATTTAGAATCAGGAACATGTTCTGATTTCTAAACTCAGGAACAACTGATGACCAAGAAGTTAGTTTAGCCACAATACATTTGATAAACTCATCAGGACTTCTAACATAGATCACTAAAAACTCTGTTATTCCTCTCAGACCAAATAGAGCTGATCACTGCTGCTGGAATGGTCCTCCAAAATGATTTTTCCTCTTTTAGAAAGACCCGGAATATACCAGCTCTGTAGAAGTTCCTGAATCAGTCCTGGCATCACCCAGTAAATGCCCATCGCATGAAAGAAGTGTGACCAAATCCTCCAAACAAAGGAACAATGAATACATAAATGATCAATTTATTCCTCCTCTTGACCACAGATCCCACAGCTTAGATCATCTAAGGTGATTCCTATTCTCATCAAGCTGCTGCTTGTTAGACATTTCCTTAGAGCTGAAGCCCAAACTAAGAAGTTGATTTTGGATGGAGTTGAGGGAATCCAGATTTGTTTAGAAGGGAAATCAGGTTCCCCTCTAGCAGTTAAACCATCCACAAAGGATTTAACTGAGAATTTCCCATCAGCCTTCCAAATCCAGGTCCAAACATCACTTAATTGGGGGTATAAAGTGAAATTGTTTAGGCAATTAAGGAGGCTCATTACCTCCACCTCCCAATCCTAAAAACCTCTATGGAATCTGGGTTTCCAGACCACTTCCCCTCTAGTTAGCTCAAAGGATTCAGCCACTGTAGCCTCTTTGTTCTCAGCCTCTGCAAATAGAATAGGAAATTTATCCTCTAAAGTTGATTCATCCAGCCACCTGTCATTCCAAAACCATATTCTATCCCCATTTCCCACCTGAAATCCCACTCCATTGATTCATTATAGCCTTCCATAAAGAGCATCCATATGATGGAAGGTTAATAGCAGTTATCCATCCACCTGGTTGAAGGCCATACTTAACTGCAATGAGCTTTCTCCACCAACTATTTTCTTTCATTCCAAATCTCCGAACCCACTTCCCCATTAGAGCTGTATTGAAAGTTTTTCAGTCTTCTCAGACCCAATCCACCTGAACTATGCAGAGCACAGATCTTTTTTTTTTATCAGAAACGGTAACTTTCATTAAAGGTAAATTAAAACTGAGATACAGGAGTCAACCATTATTAGAAGAGGTTGATCTAATAAACACCAACCATTACAGCACTTCCCAGTAAAGTCTCTCCCTTACATTCCCTTGTTTAGCTAAAGCATCAGCAAAACCATTTGCTGACCTCCTTACCCACTTGAAACAAACACCCACCTCCCTTGTTATGCTAAGTATTTCCCTCATTAGCTGTCTATATTTCCAAATTCCCAGCTATCCTGATTGCATAGCACATATCTTATCCCAAGCCACCAAGTGAGTTTGCTTCTCATCTTCCCAACCTTCCCACAAAAAATCTCTTTGTAATTTTTCAATTCTCTTAGCCCCTTTACTCGGTATAGGAAAGAGGGAGAGGTAATAAGTAGGAAGATTTGCAAGTTTACTTTCGATCAAAGTCACTCTTCCCCCTTTTGAAAGATACTCAGTCTTCCAAATCGCCAGTTTTCTTTCCATTCTTTCTAAAACAGAGAGGCTTTGAATGCTTATCTGATTTTATCTAATTTATTCCCCAAGACAGATTTCCTTATTCTCTTGAGATTGAATGCTTACCTGATTTTATCTATCTCATTCCCCCTGTATTCCTAGCCCATTCCTTCAGGCTTTAAGAGAGCTTCAAAATCCCATAAGCCTGTCTGACCCGCATTGTTGATGAATTGGGTCAGAACCTCCATAACACACAGAAAAGGCAGGGGGGGGGGCTTTGAATGCTTATCTGATAATCTGATTTTAACTAATTTATTCCCCAAGACAGATTTCCTTATTCTCTTGAGATTGAATGCTTATCTGATTTTATCCATCTCATTCCCCCTGTCTTCTTTACCCAGCCCATTAGTGAAACTTCCACTTCGCTATTGCTCTACAAGGAACCAAATGCTGATGATACTATGGAGTTATTTTTCATATCAAACCAATAAGATCCATCATTACAAGCCTTCAGTTTCCACCTAGCATCCACTCATTTAACAAATTTCAAAGGTCTGAACTCCAGTTCCGTTAACTCTTCATTCGAGGTTGGTTGACAGTGTGTTCTGTACTCATGGCGATGGACTAAAAGGCCCTCCATTACTTGCTATATTGAATAAGAAAACCAAATAGTGTTGATGTTGAAACTTGTGAAAGATTGTTTCTTTTCATTTTGTGTGGATAGTGGATCAGCACATTTTAAATGAAATATAACTATAAAAGAAACAAAATAAATGTTGTGATATAAAAAGCTCACCAAGAGATGTGCCATTAACATACTGAAACAAGCTGTAAATTGTGGGTTCTTAGGTTTATCCAATTTGTTGGCCTTTGTTACTATCTTCTCTTTAGGCTTAACCAACTTTTCTGCTTTAGGTACCCTCTCCTCTTCAGCCTCGACTGCAACAGCCCTTTTTGACTGAGTGCACCCACCTACATCAGATAAGCCTATTGATAAACTGCCAATAACATAACAATAAAAGTGGCAGAATATTGAAAAAAAAAAGTATTTATAACAACTTACATTTCTTTCTCCTAACCTCTTGAGGGTTCCTAACAAAATACACCCGCTTTAAACTAGAAGTATTCTTGTTTAAATCTTCCTTAGCTTCTTCTGCTTTTCTCCTACCACCATTTGTACAAGTCGAAAATTCTTCCTTCTCGCAGGAAGTACTATCAAATATCAGAACATCGAATGATGAATTGTAGTTATATCTGAAAACTAAAAAATATCCAGATCTCAAAGAATTATCTTGTACGAATTCCTTCCAACCGTCCTGGAAAAACCAGTTGTCTTCATCTTGCGCCATCTCCACAGACCAAAACCTCCCAATACGACTCCTAAGGATGACCCTCTCAGGTATTACGCCATTGAAGTGCTTGATAAAAGGTGGTGGCACACGCTACAAAATAAATATCATCACACAGTCAATCACAACGAAAGAAAAAAAAAATCATGGATATGATTTCTCATCTATTTCTGTAACTACTCCTTTAACTTCTCTTATTTATTCTGTTAACTTCTCTTGATTACAATATATTAAGCTTCTTCATTGATGCTACCGAAGAAAACATTATCTCTTTCTCGGTTGCAGGAAAAAAAAAAGAAAGTGCAGTAAAATTTGCATCTATAAGAAATCTCATCGAAACCCAGTATTGTTTGAAATCGAAGAAGATATGGAACAGATAGAAGATAATACCAATCGTTCGGAGCTTTGATCGGGGAAAAATACTTTGAAAAAATGCGGACTCTTGTCATGATTAAAGGCTCTCCTGCGAGCCTGAACCATTTCCAATTCTATTTCTTCCCGTGAAAACCTTTGTAGAACAACAGGGGAAAAAGATCTTAAAACCCCGGTACTAAGTTGTAAAGACTTCGGACTTTGGAAGGACAGGGAGTGTAAACAGAGCAAACAAGAATGGTTGTTGTTCCGCGCCAAAATTAGAATAGAAAGATACTGTACTCAATGAGTCCGGATCTGCTGCGCGCAAATGCTATTAAGAAACTACAGCCGCACATCGGGAGCATCTGAATTGATGCTAATTACACGAATTTATTTTATTGTTTGCGCTACTAATTCAACCCACGCCACACATCTGGAACATTGTCTCAAGTGAATCCCAGCTGTCGTACATAGTATATTTCCAGATATGCTGAATATTGATTCGGACGGTCATACCGTTCGGCCCGAAAACCGGTCAGGACATTGCTTAGGTTTTGGCCCTGAATCGTTAGCTTTCCAAGAAAGAAACTGTTGAATTTATCAGCGACATGCTAATCCAAGCGATCAAACCATCGATCCATTTGACCCGAATAACGATTTTAACCTTTTTTTTTTTAACTTTTAAAATATGATAGACTAATCCATTCAGATTGAACGGTTGAACCATTGACTTAAAACCGGGTGGCCAAAGCAATTGCAGTTCCAAATCAATTTTTAAAAATTGCCTTTTTATTAATCATTTTCATACTTCTAAACAATCATACTTCAAACATACATTTTAATGGCATTCTAAAAATTCTACACATACATAAATTAGATGCATCATACATAGTTGTTTATACATGGATACATACATGTATATATCCTGCAATGCACAAATTTTGTTAAGCGAAAGCTACACAATAATAACATATAAGAGTATACAATTGTTTTATGTTTTTAATTTTTTAAATAACTAATAACAATTTATATTTTATATACTACTTCTAATAATTTTTTTACAATACAAAAATAACAATAATTCATGTCAAATAGGATTGTTGATCAAACAAATGAAACTAACCAACTTGACCCAACTCGATCCGAGTTGATAGGTTTTCTAGTATTTCCAATCAGCTTTGGTTCAGCAATTTCCGAACCCAATCAGGCTGGGTTAGTTTTAGTTTGGCCATTTGTAAATCGACTAAAACCGAACCGATCCAACTATGAATATACATTAACCTTTTATATTTTAAAAATAATTTTTAATATGGGAAAGTGAAAAAATTTTCATATTTCTTAGTCTAGCTAAAATATTTATACAAAAAACATAAATTTAATTTTTAATAATACAAATGTAATTTTTAAATTTAAATTTAATTATAAGTTTCATTTTTTGAACTGATTGACTATACCAAAAATTGACTCAAATTGATACAACCTAAGTTGACCAATTTAGTTGGTTTTGGGTGATCAACTCCCCAATCTAACCAGGTTGATTTGGTTAGCCAAAAAAGCCTGCAACTTAACCAAACTGACCCATGAATACTCCTAATTTTTAGCTAAATTAATAGTCTAATTTCTAATAAATAATAATAGTTTAATCTCCAATAATTATTGAAAATTTATTGCAAAAATACACAATTATTGAAAATAAATTTATATAAAAAATATAATAAATAACTAACAAAATACAATAATTACAATATTGTTTAGCTTTCGGTTAACAATAAATATTGAAAATATATTAAATTAGTTAATAAATAGTGTAATCACAAATAATACTTTAATATCTAATAAATATTAATCAATAAATTATAACAACATTACATAATTACTAAAAATAAATTTATAACAAAAATACAATAAGTACAATAAATGAAATTTAAAATGTTAAATAAGAGTAGTTTAATCTACAATAATTATTGAAAAATTTTTGTTAAATAACAAAACAAAAATATATTTATACATAACTATTGAAAATATATTTAACACAAAAATACAACAAATGATTACTAAAAATACAATAAATAATAATTTTAGTATATATAAATATATAATAAATATAGATTAAGATTTTAAAATTATTATTAATAAATAATAATTTTTTGAAAGTTATTTTCTAGAATTATTAATTGATATAAGTGAAATTATTTGTTTACAATATTATTTAGTTATTTACATAATATCATTATTTAATTTTTTAAAATACTAATGATTTACTGAACTTAATAGTTTGTAAAATTATAATTTATACTATTATTACATATTTTCTTTATTAATTTTGTAAACTATTAAATTATTATAATTTGAATACTATGAAATATATTATAATTATTTTCTTCTTTTAGGAAATTTTTAAAGTTTATTACATAATTTCGTTATTTTAACTATTTAAAATTTATTTATGTTAAATATTTCATTATTTAAAACATTTATTAAATAATATGTAAAATATTTAAATTTACTTTTGTTATTTGGATTTTATTTTTTAAGTTATAATGTAATATTAAATATTTTGTTATATAATTATTTATCTATTTTTAATATTTTGTTGTTTAAGATACTTAGTTATTAAAATATTTAAATAATATTTTATTTTTAATGTTAAATTTATTATTTGAGCAAGATTTAAATTGACTAATCCATTAACTTATTATTTATATTGTCCGTACATAATTTTGTGATGAATTTTGAAAAAATATAAAATTATTAATAATATGAATATTATTAAATATATTATAATTATTTTTTGTGTTTTTATAAACATTTTAAAATCATTATATAATTTTTTATAATATTTAAATAATTCTTAAACTTTTTAATTCAAACTTTCTTTAGATAGATACAGATAAAAGTGGGGGAGGGGATAAATAGGAATTAGAGATAATTTAGGAGAGAAACTCTTTACTAAATTGTAGATAATTTAAAAGATAAATAGGAATTAGAGATAACTTAAGAAAAAGTGGGGGATAGTGGTGCCACTTTGCTAGGCATTAGAAAAGCAAATCCTTCTTTCTTTGTCTATTGGTTCATTGGTTGTTATAGAGGAGATTATTTAGGTGGGGGAAGCATTTTAAGAGAAAGGAGAGGAGATTATTTAGGTTGTTGGGAGCATGTAGAAGAGAGAGAGAGAGAGAGAGAGAGAGAGAGGGAGGAAAATCAGGATGCCTTGATTAATAGGTCACGTTAATTGGCAAATAGACTCTCTTGCCACGTGGCCTATTGAGAGGAAAGACAGAGTGTAAATGAGAGAGCTGGAAAGGGGTAATTGGTAAAGGAGAAAGTAGAGATGTTTAAGGAAAGAAGAGAGAAGGGGGAACGGTGAGACCTAATCGCTTTATAATATAATATAGATATAGTACTTAAAATAAATGTTTTATACAACAATTATACATATAAATGTGAAATTAAGCATGGTTTGAAAAGACTAAAGCCTCAATCCTAAGAATAGAAAGTTTTATTTCCGTCCCCTCTTTTGACTTTTGGTTTAGATGGTGGACTGAAAAATGCATCGATCAAGGAGAGAAAAAGGAGGAGTTCTTGGTTGTGTCCTCTATTATCCTTTGAGGTGTAAATTTGGCTGTGTTAGGCTGGCACGACACGATACATGCTTTTGGCGGGTCATGTTGTGCTGGCCCGTAGGCCAAGCTGGGTCGTGCTTCCCTCCCTTGGGACACTTCGGGGGGTCGGCTCGACATGACCCATGGCCTGTGTTGCAGGCTGTGCCTACACAGGCCTGTGTTGCAGGCTGAGCCTTGGGTCAGGCTGGGCCGCAAATTGGGCCAAGCCATGAGAGGTATATTTAAAAAAAAATAAAAGGTTTAAAGTGAAATACAAAATAGACAAAAAATAAAAAAAAGGTCTTAAAATTTTATTTTATATGAATTTTGATGTATATAATTGTTTAAACATGCAATAATAAAATGAAATAGTATAATTAAATTGTAAATAAAATTATATATATATATATATATATATATGGGTCATTCTGCAAGCCATGCCACATGCTGGGTTGTGTCGGCACACAGGCCACGGGCGACATGATGAGTACAGTTGTGTCGTGCCATGGACCTAAAATCCTAGGCCTGGCACGGCCTGTATGATTATATCATGCTCGGTACAGCCCGCATTCTGTCATGTTGGGCCATGGCGGGCTGACCCAAAATCATGTCGGGCCATGGTTGATACGACCCAATTTACACTTCTAGTTATCCTTTCATCAATTTGGAAAAGTAGAAATGCTTTCATTGTTGAAAACTTTGCTATAAACCCATCTATTACTCTTGTTGTATGATAAAGGAGAGAAACTTCCCGATAAGGATGGTTGCCTTCTCCTGCTCTTGAGTTTTTTGACTCCCCCTGGTACAGGTACTATCAAAATTAACATAGATGGTAGTTTTTTAGTCCAAGCTAAAGCATTGGCAATCCTGCAGGGCTTAAAGCTTTCATCTCTATTGTGTAGCTCATCCTTTTTGTTGGAAAGTGACTATAATCTAGTGAATGTAGTTAACAAGGGCAATTTACCAGTGGCCAAGGATGCGATGTTCTTAGTTCAGGATATAATAAACCCTTATCAAAGATAGAAATGTATCTTTTTTCTTTTGTAAATAGGTCTGCAAACTCTGTGGCCCATAGCCTTTCTGCAAAGGGTCTTACGGAGTCAGGTTTGTTTATTCAGGCTTGCCCGAAGTGGATCCAAGAGCTTGCCCTGAAGGACTTATGTTCTTTTTCTTCCTGCTAATATATTTGTTACTAAAAAAAAAAAATCCTAATCCAATCTAAAGTTAAATCAGATTCATATTTTTATTTAGGTTGGATTCGGGCTACCCAACTCAAATTGCAGCCCTAATCAAAACCCTCTCATGAATTTTGATGGATACCACCATTGCCACTTTTTTTTTATAGAAACCTGGATGTGCTACACAAGCTTAGGGGTAGCACATCCCCAAAAGTCTCCATTACAAATAGCTACTAAACCACTCGGAAGATTACAAAGATCAAGATGCAAGCAACCAAACCTAGAATGAGCTTCATTAGCAATCCAGTCAGCTGCTTGATTCGCCTCTCTGAACACGTGTTTGTAACTTACTCGACCCTCCAGCTGATCCTTCAACTTTAGGCAATCTTGGATAATATTCCTTAGGTTCCAAGGAGGATGGGACTGGTTCTTGAGACAAGAGATAACCAGCTTTGAATCCCCTTCAATAATCTCCACCTCCGCCTCCCTGAAGTTTGCCACTAGGTTGTGAGCCTCCCACACAGCCCATGCATTTGCATTGTTGATCATAGAAACACCAAGAGTGTAGCCTTTGAAATCTAGAATCTCACTCCTATGGTTCCTAACCACCGCACCAATAATACACATACCAGTGGTACGACGAGAAGCATCAAAGTTAATTTTAATTGATCCAACTTCAGGAGAGATCCACTTAATGTTCTTCCAATTATTGAAATTGGGTCGTTTTTCAACTCCCTGAATTCCTTGAAAGCCAAAGCTGCTCTATCAATAAGCCACCATCACCACTTTTACCATAGTATGAGATTGGCTGAAAACACAGGTTAACATTTCTACTATCAAATCCTTCTTATTGAAATTTCAAAAAATGGTGGATTAGAGAAAATACCAAAAGGGTGTCCATGTCCTACGATATGAATTGTTTTTCTTATTGCTGGTTTAAAAAACAAATCAAAACCATCTAATTTAAAATCAGATTGCTTTTCAAGACAAAAACATAAAAATCATATTCTAGCTGTATATGTGCCTTTTGTTTTCAAAAGTAAAACCCAAACATGCTCTTGAAATTTTAGTTTCTAGTTTCAAAAACATATTTTCATGTAATTATTTTATGAGTCATGTTTTATAAATCATATAATTTTTACACTACAAAATTCATTTTTTTTTATTTTAAAGCAATTATTTTGATGGTTAAAAAACATGTATTGTTTTTTTAACAGAACCTTATTTTCTATTGAAAAAAAAATCAACATATTTTTGTTTTTTTTCTTTCTGTTGATGTAATTTCAAAAACAAATGAAAACAAAAAATTCAAGATGTATAACGCACCCCAAATTAGCAATGCGTATTATTCAAAAGAATAAACCCCCAATATTTCCAATATGTGCGAGTGCGACATATATATGGAATTCAAATAACCAAATTGTGATTGTTGCGTTTGGTTGCAGTGCAATTTGATTTGCACTAGTACAAATGCATGAGAGTGCAAATCAAATTATGCAAAATTTTGATTAGCTTTGTTTTGAGTTTTACTTTATTCTGCTTCATGTCTTAATTTACTCCATTTATACTGCAATCAAACAAAATAAGCTAAAATTTGAAAGAAAATATGTCAGAATTTACACTCAAATCATTTGCACTGCCATAGTTTTGCATCAGTACAAATTTGTTTGCATTGCAACCAAGCACAGCCTTAGTTACAAATGGCACCTCATAAAGGAATTTTCATGGCCATAAGAACTATATAGTGCAGCAACAAGCATATAACGCAGCTACCTGTTACAACGTCGAAGTACAATCTAAGCTTGACCTTTTAGCTTTGAATCATTCTCTTATCATTTAACTTAATCTAGACATAAATAAGCTTTTAGCTTCTGCTCAACACTTACATCTCCAACTGCATTAGTATCAGCTTTGACACCCTAGACGCAATACCGAATTATTTACCTCCAACCACAGTATTCCCTCTACCACCAGTAAGGACCAAGGGAACACACCCCCACATAGTCAAGTGGTCCTTGTGTTAAAAAGAACTGATACATTGCTTCTTCGCTTTAAATTGTTCAGTTCCTACATGATCATCCTCACTTCTTCGATCTTGGCTCTTGGTACTATCCATTTTTGAAGTCCCTAGCCCAGATCGGATAATATATATCCGCACAATACTTCCTTTTCTGCCTCTCTGTCCTGTAAATTCAAAAATGCACTTGTCATTCTTTCGCAGGTTGCTTTCCCTCCAGAAAGCTGACCACCCTGTAGAAAACGTAGCTCGGCCATCCTTCCAGAAAGAGACTTTTACAGGCCATGACTTCCCATACAGATCATAAAGGACCACATGAGGCTTTATGTCAAGAAGATTTATTATTACCATTTCTTTTGGAACAATCTGCAGCCAGCAGTCAAGGCATTATACATATGAGAACGAAGTTCAATGTCTACCTCTGCAGTATAATGACAAAATTTGAAAGAGAAGATTATTGGTTAACTTTTACAGGCCGATATATTTTAATCTTGTAAACAATCATCATCAAAATTGAGGAACAGGAAAACATTCATATGGCAGCACTTTCAAATTAGTAATGCAGGAAATAGTGCTAAATAATGACTATAGTTGCAGGTGTACCATGGATTCTGAAGAAGGGAGAAATGTTTTGGTTCAATCTACAACATAGAAAGGGTTGTATCATATAGCCAACAAACCCTAGGAACGGCTACACTATAAATTCATCTCATAATTTGGTGACGAAATTACTTCTCCAGAAACAACCTATGTTATCCAGATTCGGCAGAGATATGGCTGAAGAAGGTTTCAGATGTAAAATGTCAACTAAAACTGGATGTCCAAGATGGCATCTTTCTAAAGGTATTTGGGTATCATAAGAAATAAATTAAGGCAACTATACTTGGCATTTATAACTCTCCACCACAAGCTGTGTTCTTTTTGTCTAAACTTCAACAGCCATATACCAAGAACTTCATTCATAAACTTTCACAACTCACAATGCAAAAATCCAGGCACTACATGCCCCTGGAGCTATGTGTAGGAATAGAGATAAGAAAGAAAAATAAATGGCAAGATATCAAACTATACCTTCAATGAAAGTAACCCCAGTTTGCCCCCACCCTGCAAAAATTACTCTAGTGAAAACCCCAATAGAAGCTTTTCTTTAAAGCCCAGTAGGATGCAGGAAGTTTCCTAAATAAAATGCAACATAGAGCATAGTTTTCAAGGTATTAAAGCATGGAGGGGGGGGGAGTGCCTTGTCACCTAGGCATCACCTAGATGATAGAATTTTGTATATAGAAACCATGAATCCTAGGGTAATTCCCTAGGTTCCATAGCAACCAGTAACCATCTTTTATTGATAATTATTCATAAACTTCATAAAAAAGTATAAGCTTCATATTAAAACATAGAAAATCAAACAATATTGACGATGTTGATAAAGATAAAGACCGTCTTAACTCTTGATTGGAGAGAATTATAAGTTCTCCCCTGCTTATTGATTCAGGTTTTGAAGTTTGAGGGTTCAAGACAACATAGTCAACATGTGTGTTGATTCAGCCCTAAAAAATAAGAAAATAATAAAAAGAAACTAATATATAAACCCACAAAATGAATATTTTAATTTAATAATATCTATTTAATTATTATAATATCAAAAAACAAAGAAATAAAAGTGTTTCATAGTGGCATGTACAAAATAGGTAAGTGATTAAACAAGGTGACCATCCATGGGCACCTTGTCACCTAGGCATCACCTTGACAACTATGACATAAAGATCCATAATATTCTCTGTCCATACCACCATATAAACAGTTCACCATTGTTAAGATTTATAAGTATCCTCAAAACCCCTTCAAACAGCAAGGCTTGCATATAAAGTATCTGAATTGCTATTAAGAAGGAAAACCATGTTCACCCCCAACAGAAAGCCTTCTAACATTCAATCCTTCACCTCTCTATTGCCACTTCACTAGAGCCTCTGCCAGTGTGATGCAAAGAAATGGTATGAAACCATCAAATCTGGAGATGCTGGAGTAACTCCTTGAAAACTCCTCTGGAGAACCATCAATAAGAGAAGATGCTGCATAATTCAACCCTCATTTCAGATCAAAATTGAACTGGACAAGCATATGCTCCAACCATTCCCATACACCTCATCATGGGCTACTCCAAAATCCAACTTAATTTTCAATAAGCTTTCTAACCGCCAACATGTCATTGAGAATCTACTATCCATTAGAAGAAACTATGTCTTCAGGAGATAGGCAAAAATAGAAACCTATTTGTCATCATCAAAACTTTCAAGGAATATCATTGGACTTCATATACTGTATATTCTAGTACACTCATTTCATTTAATATATGGAATTTGAACCCTTGACACATCCCTGATTCTAGCTGAGAAGCAAACCCCACTCAGCTTGATGGTAAAGAAAAAACCTTTATACCCCTTTCTATGGAATCAGAGGATGTTGGTTAAAAATACTTGCCTTCCAGAACAAAAAACACACCTTGCATTTGGTCACAAACAATCTCCTCCTAAAAAGAGATGGTTTAAAATTCAATCCAGGAACCTTTAAATTTTAAAAAATTCTTTAACATAATTTGAAAATATGTTTCCACTGCAGGACAGAACAATTTGCAACTACATTTTGAAGTTATGGCAAGCAATACTTCAGAGGAAAAATTAATGATCAACTCATGTATAAATTGTCATATAGATAGAAATAAGATCAAAATAGTTAGGTAAAAAACCAAAGTTCAAGTCAAATTAAGGAGAGAAAATCCTTTTAACATGGAATTGACTTGGTGCAACGGTTGGGTTGCTCAATTGCGACCTGGGTGACCAGAGTTCAAATCTTGGAAGCAGCCTCCCTGTATGTGCAGGGGTCAGGCTGCATACATACATCCCTCCCCAGACCCTGCATTGGCAGGAGCCTCGTGCACTGGGCTGCCCTTTATATCCTAAATGGAATATCCCCATACATAAGTCATCCTCTTATAACTCACCCGACTTGTCATGGGGCCATTTGACAACTTCCTTAACAAAGACAACATTATGGAGGGACATGCATGAAGACACCACAAATCAGCATCCAAAGACTGCTGCATATCCATTTTCAAATCCATCATCTTCCTTCACCAGTTCACCTATCCATTTTCTAGTCCCCCAACCCCATAGATGTTCTGTTTCCATTCAGCATCCTCTCTCATTCAACAAATATCCCAAGGGACAAGCTTCTCATTTACACTAAAACAAGGCTGTTAGAATCATGATTGCTAGTAATAACAGCAGAAAAGCAGAAAATTACTTGTTAAAAGGACCTTATCAACAAAAGAATGCTAACACCTTATGAGAGCTTTCTTCTATGCACAATAGACAGGAGTTTCAGAAAGAAGATAAAATGTCAAATGTAAAAATATAAAATATAGCATCAGAATAGAAGTTAAAAGACTCACCACGGTGTATGGCATACTCCGTTTAACATACACTGTAAAATGCGGATTCTTGGGTTTAAAAAATCGAGCAGTTTCAATCAACCTGTCTTCTGCAGCATTGGCTGAAGAACTCCTTTTTGATTTAGTAGATCCATCTACAACATGTAAGCCTCTACTTAACTGTTGCTAAAGAAAAATTAAGAGAAAGTGGTAGAATGTTAAGGAGATAAACATGATATAAAAACTTACACTTCGTTTCCCCACTCATTTCATGGATCCTTTCAGAATAAGTTTCTTTAACCTGGGTTTTCTTGTTAAATCGTCCCCTTGCATCTGATTCTTCCTTTATGTTTACAAATGAAGGCTCCCTGTGTTTCCTATAATCCAATGGTTCATTCTCCTCACAGCCACTTTTACAATATAAACTTTCATTCTTTTCGCAACCACTTCTACCAAATATTTTAACATCAAATACAGAATTACCATCATATTTGAAGACCAAAAAATCTCCGAGTTCCAATGAATGATGTTTTACAAAACCCTGCCAACCATTCTGGAAGAAAATATCATTTTCAATTTGTTGCAACTCCACAGACCAGGTCTTCCCAGTAGGATTTTTAAGGATGGTCCAGTTCGGAACCACTCCATTGAAGTGCTCAATAAAGGCAGGTGGTATGCACTGCAATATACAAACTAGCCGAGCTTATTTCAAAAAAGATTAAAACAAGAATACAATGAAGAAAATTATGTGCTACCCAATTCCATACTATGTTTCCTTCTTTACTTTTACATATAGTGCATATTGCATCATTTGCTGTGACGATCATCATATACACACCATTATTTAAAAGGTAGAAGCTTTGGGATTGGGAGCACAAGCCAACCATCAAAAAGTGGATCCATTTTTTCACAAACAAAATATTGGAATGAGGTCAAATGAATTTTCCCTGAATGAATGCCTTTTCAGTTTTCTTAACAGCCTGAAATGAATCCACTTCTGTTGACCATGGTGTGGGTTGAAATGCTATACGGAACTGAATTAAAATAGTTTCATTTTCCATTGCATCGAAAGAGGACTAACTGTGTAGAATAAGGAATAGCATATATATCATCTATTTCTGTGTTCTCTCTTTTGATATCTATTTTTCGACCAAAAAAAGTGTAAATCAAATCGCAGCTCAAAAAAAGTGTAAATCATATTATTTTCTATGAAGACCAATATATATAGTGATTAGTGCAGTACAACAGAGAATAGTTTAGGAATGGCCAATAGAGCAGCACTACTGGTAGCATGATGATCTTTATTCTTTTACATGTCCCCTGCAGGAAAGCGTGAAATATCATTTCTTGTTAACCAAGAAAATTTACTACATTGGTGACAGAACGTGGAGATCAAGGAAGAAAACCATGACCGTGAGCCCATTACTGAAGCCAAAATCCTCACACCAAGGATTAACTCAAATGGTTAGTGGAGAATGCCCTTGATAATGTTACATTCAATGTCCCACCATAAGATAATTCCTATGATCAACCTATTAAAACATAACATCATTGTTTCTTTCAAAATCCCATTCAAAATAACCGCAAAGAGAAGTTGCTATTGAATCCGTCTATCTACCTATAAATGAAGGATAGACCATGAATAAAATAGTAAAGCTCTTCGAACTAGTTGATTGAGAAAAAGAAAAAGGCAAAGAAATCATTCAGAGGTGGCGGAAAACATAGAACCCCAATAAAATTACAGAGAAAAGGAGGATTGTTTTGAATAGTATATGATTACCAGTTTATCAGAGCTGCGGGAAGGGTAAAATATCTTGAAGAATTGAGGTCTCTCAAGGGAAGAGATTTTTCGCTTGCTAGTTTTCACCATTTTCTAGCTTCTTTCTCCAATAGACTGTGAAACAGAGACACCAAAGAAAGAGTGAGACCGGAAGAGTAGGGTTTGTGTGGACGAATTGCCCAGGAGGGAGTCAGTCAGCGTTGGTGGGAGTGGGTACTGGGCAGAGTGTAGCTTAGAGCTAGAGGTGTTAGAAATTTGGGAAGTAGACATCAAGTATTAAACCATTAACCAAGAAAATGTTAGAATTAGACTGGTAAACCTGTGACACTTGACAGAAGGTCTTTACCATTGACCAATTGGTCCAATTCCCTCCAAGAAAAAAAGCATAATAAAATGACATTAATCCCAGGGATATCACGTCTACCAGATTGATCTATAAATCTCGGGCTTCGTTCCATGGATTCAACGGTTAAGCATAGAAGCACTTACATTACAAAATTAGGTCTCACCACACAATGTTACGACATTTCTGCATGCCCCCAGAGGGCATACCGCGTTACGCTCGATGCTAGGTGCCTCAGTGGTAGTGGTAGGGATGGCAATTTTTTGGGACCCAACTTCTCCGACCCCATATATATATATATTAAATATATTTAAAAAATTATTTATAATTTAAAATTTTTATTTATTTAAGTAAATTTATTTTTTAAATAAATACTATTACTTAAAAATTTTGGGAATTCGGGTCCACACGAGGAACCCATCCCTATCAGGGATCGGGGACGGAGAATATGATCCTCACCTCGAACCTATTCCGTTGTCATTCCTACTCGGTGGTGTGTTCCTATTATAGAAACTCATGTTCTACTAAACGTAGAAATTCATTGCATCGCCATTGGCCTCGTTTGCAACCGTCGACGTTCAAAGTTTTGAATCGATGTAAATCAAGAACGGTGTAAACTTTGATTTTTTCCATGCTTGAAAGGAGAGTATAATCTAAGTAAAACCTATTAAACGTAAAGTTTTACATTTATCGATGCTTGGAAGGAGAGTGTAATCGAAGTAAAACCCATTAAACGTAAAGATTTACATTTATCGATGTAAATACTATATTGATTTTATTGTATAAATACTACATCGATTTTACGGCAAAGTACAGACATGCTCAGTGCATATTTCTGATTTTCATAAAATGTCAACAATCCACACTTTATGCATCAACACCCACTCGTGAATTAGCATCAATTCCAAGCTGGCACCTACCCCAACGATACTTTGGGCCTACCCCATCAGTACTTTAAGCTTACAAACTCTAACACTGGGCTAAACCATCATTCTCCCTTCGGTCACTTTTACGGTTCAGTTTTACATTGATTATCGATAACATTTTACATTGATTTCAAACACAGTCTAAACATTTATACTTGATATCTAAGAAAAGCAATAATAAATCTACTTATTAACACTTAGACATCATTAAGCACCACATCAGCAACACAGCCTACCTATTGGAGAAAGTGATAAAATGAAACTTCCCCCAACAATAAGTGTTCATATAAATCAGGCCCGCTTTTGTAAGTTTCTATGCATATGGAATAATGAGGAAAATACTGAAGTGATGCCTATGTGACATTATTTATTCAATAAACTCCCATAATTCCAAACACTGCCTTAACGATGGCATGTAACAATATGGTTCGCGACTTCTAATAGACCAAGGCCCGAGTCAGGCCAGGTTTTTAGTTTTTCACATATTATTAACGCCCTTTAGGGCTGGCTGGGCCGGGTCTTGGCTGGGCCATGACGAGCATCTAAGCTTGTTCGTATAATTAACAAACTAGCGGGGGAGCCCCTGCGAATTAAAAAATGTTAAAAATTAAATTCAATTCCAAGTTCCATAAAATCAAGTTCCAAGTGTAAGAGGGGCAACATATAAAAAATGTTAAAAATGGATTTTGAACCATTTTAAGCAACAATTTCCATATTAGAAAATGGTGAAGCTCAAGAAATCGATTTGAAGAGTCTAAGTTTGAAATGTTAGATGCGATTACCCTTAAAAACCCATCTATCTATATCTATAATTGTACATGTAATTAACATTATAAGAAAATACATCCATATGTAAAGTACAAATTTACACCAAATACAAATTCTAATCTCTCCTATATGCATTCCCTATGTGAAGTAGCACACGTTCAACCTCCACAAGAGCAAGATGTTATCGGACCCTCCTGTCTATAACTATCTAAGCTATTCCTCCCAAACAATCAAGTCATTGTTAGTAACTATCCAAAGTACAACAATAAGCAACTGTATATATGAATAATTCAAATTTTTGATAGGTTCTAGGAAAAAAAATGCATTCATTGTAAAAAACCATGATCTATAAGGTTGATATTTGTAATAATGAACTTGATGGTACGCAATCCGACCGGTCCTAGCCGTCAACGATCTTGCCTCGGGCTGGAGCACAAGGTGCCTGAAACGGGGGAGAAAGCGAGTAATCTCCGGGGAAGAATCCGGTGAGAATGCTCCGAAGCTCAAGTTAGTATTTCCTCAAAGGCAAGATAAAATCAAATGGTGCAAAGTTCACATACCTTTCTTCTTGGGGGGAAGGGGGCGTTTTATAACCACTTCGCGCACTCACTCCTAAGCTTCTGTCAGGTCGGGTATGATTACCCCTGCGCTTCTGTCAAGTCGGTTATGATTACTCCTGCGCTTCTGCCAGTTCGGGTGTCATCACCTCTGCTGGGGCAGAACCGCCACTGTTCTCTTTGTCGGAGCTGTCTCTGTAACTGGAGATGGCGGTGGCGGGTGGCCGTTGAAGTGCGGCTGTCAAGCGTCAGATCCCAAGTCAATCAGGTGCGCCGCCTCAGGATACGGACTTCTTCGATGTCAAGAACGGTATGGTTGTTCAGTTCGGCGTCCTGGAGGCGAAGTGCTGGAGTGGTGTGCAAGGTGAAGTCTTGAGTTCAGATGGAGGTGTGGCCCGAATTGCCATGGGGTGGCCCAATTCAGATTGTTGCCCGTTGTGTTCGTAAGGCTCGGGGTCTAAGGGAGAGACCAGGCTCCTTACGGGGAGTTCGGGCTCCTTGTAGGGAATTCGGACCGCTGGTTCCTCCTTTCAGAGCTCACGCCTTAGGCATGCTGTTGTGCCGAGCTGTTAACTTTGCCACGTGTTGAATGGTTATGAGGTCGGGCCAAATCTTCCTTCATTACTAATCTATAATTGTACTGTTAAACAACCAAGTTAACCATTTCATTGGGTAAAAATCAATAGGTTGGTATCCTTTCCAATTTTCTTAGCAAAAACCTATGCAAAGAAGATTAGGGCTAATAATAAAGTGTAAGATTTTCCTACGCAATCACTTTAAAAAGAAAAGTACAAATAAAATTCATAACCCAAGGAGATCAATTAATCAAGAGATAATATAGTAAAAAATTTATGGGGAGATACCACATAACATAATAAATGCCATTGGTCCTTAAGAAAAATATAAATAAATGAATAATGAATGCCTTGAGGAGTCTAATGTTGCTAGAGGATCTTATACGACTATGTACCTTTATTAACTAACTGTTGAAGCTTGTCTTTTTCTTCCATCAAAATTGTTCACCCTTGAATCCCAAAGGTGGGTATCAAGAGTCAAGACTATTATTCTAATTTGAGAAAAAAAACATAGTAGAATTCTATGTTTCCTTTTGCAGTTTAGATTATAGAAAATTAACTAGAATCTCATTCTCATATTTGAATTGAACACTTAATCATTAAAATATTATGAAAATTAAGCTAAGAAAACACAACTCTTATCACTATTGCTTTACCAAGATGTGCTCAAATACTTAATGAGTTTTTTTTTTTTTTTTTTTGATAATTTGTGCTCAAATGCTCAATGAGTATGCTAATTTACAATTGTGCTACATCCTAACTGGTTCGATAGAAACACCTCTAAACTCTCCCTTACAATGCCCTCTTCTCTCCTTGGCAACAATTGTTTAACTTGAGATTATTAACTCACTATGTCTTACTTGTCTATTATAAGTCTTGAAATACATTTATGATATTCAAAATTTGAATAAAAAAAAGAAATTGAATATAAAACAGTATCTTTAGACTCCCAAACATGTCATGGAAACCACAAATACAATAGTACAAATTACAAAACCAGCATTCATGTATCAAGTTCAATTGTTGAGCCCTATCTTATTTGACCATGATTCTGCATTTGCACTCTTTCAACTGGAGTCAGAATTTGCTCCTAATGACTTTCTGAGAAAACTTGTTAGAATATATATTTGTCTTCTTAATAATTTTGAAAATAAAATGTTTAATTGCAATGCCTTGAAGCCTCCAAATATGAACAATCCAGAATCCCAATATGGAGATGAATTATCACTGTGAGAGAAGAACATCAGTTCTATGTTTTCTACACGTTTTAAGGATAGTTTAATATTAATTTCATTTATTTGGGGTAATGCTACGACTTCCTCTGCATATTTGCAGATTATCTAAGACAAACCTTTTAATAGTAACTCATAATGCTGAAGCTAGGACAGAACCTTTTTACCTGCACAAGTTTTTTGCACATGCTGAAGCTAAGATCTTCCTCATTTCTCTCAATTCTGTGTCTCCTCCTTCCAATGAGTTGTACCATTGATGCTGGGCCTTCTGGTTGTGAACCATAATTTCTAATACCAATTGGTTGTGCGGGCCCAGCCCAAAGCAAATTTGACCGAGACGTTATAACTCACAACAAATGCAGGGAAACCAGCAGCAAATTGGTTCATTCTATCCATCTGATCAGATTTCACAGGACCTCACTACTCATCCATTCAATGTGAGAGAGAGATTCGTTTACGCTCCAGTCTCCACGTTTAATTCTTGGATTGCGGTTTTTTTTTTCTGCAACAGAAAATTCAGGGCTATGATTCGATGTTTACATTTGCAAAATTTTTACTATGAAAAAAGGTATATATATATACACCAGAAAAGTCCAAAAAAAAGTCGAATACTTAAGTACCATTTGTCTCTTAACTGTACTATGACCATTAACCCCTTCGCACGTGCCACTCCTTGAAAAGCCACGCCACGTTATGACGATGGTGCAGAGCAAGAAGATGATTCCCATCTGATGGTAGTCATGATATGGAGAAAGAAAAAAACAGTGAGTTTTTAGTCTGAGTAGGTTCTGCCATATTCGTCTTTAATAGCTTATCCTACGCCTACCGTACTCGAGCTCTCTTTATTGCTGTATCTGCAACTCGAACCACAAGGAAGAAGAGAAAATAAAATCAAAATGGGGAGGTATGCAACCATAACTTCCACCCTCTTCTTCTTGTCCAACAATCTATCTGTTCTGTGTTTTTTTTTTCTCATTCTCTTTTATCGATTATGTATTTCTTGACTGGTGACGGACTGACGGTATCGTGTCTTGTTTCAGGAAGAGAAGAAACCGGAGGAGAAGAAAGTAGAATATCAGAAGAAAGGAGAAGAAGGGAAGAAAACAGAACAAGAGAAGAAGGAAGAAGCCAAGCCCGATAAGCCAAGTGGGGAGAAGGAGGAGAGGAAAACAGAGGAATCCAAGGATTCCAAGGGTTCAGAAGAAGCCAAGGAGAAGGAGCCCCCTCCTCCACCAGAAGAAGTCGTTCTTAGAGTCTACATGCATTGCGAGGGGTGCGCTAAGAAGGTCAAGAGAAGCTTGAGGGGATTTGAAGGTTCGAGTTTAAGAGATCCATTTTGACTTTGTCTTGCTCTGTGAGAGGTTATTGAATGTGGGTCTCGCCTTTTTATTTTTGTGTTGAAGTTTTTTTCCAGACAGAGAGAGGAGAGAGGAGAAGACTTCACTCACTGTTCGAGTCTTCGAGAGAAGGAGAGAGGGAGCATTACCCAAGAGAGTTCGAGAGACCCGAGGGCACTGCTGCTGCAGCTGGAAGCCCAAGAAGCTTAAGTAGGTCGGAGTCCGAGGGGTTAAAGTTAAGGAGCCGGGAAGAGGAAGAGGATGATGACGATGAGAAGCGACGACAGAAACAAGAAACCCTAGACGAAAGGAACAACGCACGGAAGAAGAGATTAAAAAATGAACAGAGCGGGGAAGCGATGGGCTTGAAGAGCAGATCGGTCATTCAATGAACCACTTTTAATTAATGGAGTTCTTATTTTTGTATTCACATTTTATATGGATCTTCCGGCCTTCTATGAGATTTTCTATTATGAATAAATAAAGAGTTTACTTTCATTACCCATAGAGTAAAAAACAAGTAGCTCGACCGGTAAAGTAGCATACCTAGGGTACAAACACCAAAGGAAAGAGACCAGCGGTCCGAACTCCCCTCGAGGAAACCAACTCCCTAAGAGGAGTCTGAACTCCCTACAAAGGGCCCGACCTCCCTACTAAGAGCTCGAACTCCGTACGAGGAGCTCGAACTTTCCCTTTGGCCCCGAGCCACACAAAGCAGTGACCCAAATAGGCCCGTCTCATGACAGTTCGGGAACCCCCTCTTATCCGAACTCAAGACTTCGCCTCGCACATCGCTCCAAGCACTTTGCCTCCAGAGCATTGAACTAGACGAACCACACCGTACTTGACACCGAAGGAGTCCGTATCCAAGGGCGGCGAACCTGACTAACTTGGGATCTGACACTTGACGGCCGCACTTCAACGGCCACCTGCCATCATCACCTGCCACCACCATCTCCAGTTACAGAGACGGCTCCGACAAAAACAGCAATGACGGCTCTGCCCCAGCAAAGGCAATGACGCCCGAACTGGCAGAAGCACGGAAGTAATCATTCCTGACCGGACAGAAGTCTAGGAGTGATTGCGCGAGGTGGTTATAAAAGGCTCTCCACCCCCCCAAAGAGGAGGTATGCAAATTTTGCGCTATCTG